CGGCTCTGATCATGCGGAACAAGTTCCTCTTGTAGCTCGATCGGTCACACCGCCATCGCCGTCGGGGAGAGGGGGGACGACACTGCTGCAGCAGCGTGCACCTCGATCCTGCACCGTGTTTGTTATGACCCCCCCCAATGAACACACAGTGAGGGAGGGCGAGACGATCGAGGGGTCCCGTACCATGCGGAACCGACCCTATCCAGTGCTCAAGTGCTCAAGACAAATGTTCACCCCTGCTGTGTGACACTGTCGTCTCTACTACGTCTCGTCATTTCATCTCAGAGCATCTCACACTCGTCTACGGTGAACAAGCGGCAATCCTCGTCTCACTCGGTCTCACAACGGCATAGTTGCTGCGCCAAGGAGCGCGACTCGTCTCACTTGCTTCTGAGACTGTGCTGATCCACGGCGTGATGAGACACGGCGCAGAACGGGTGTGAGACGCCACAAGCCGCTGCCGTTGTCAGATACCATCTTACCATGCCATGAGCCAACCTGAGACGCAATCGTGAGACATTGGCGGGAGAGTCGAGACTATAGGCTGCGTCGTCTTTGCTAGCCAGTTGTAGCGCGGTCGGCAGACGGGCAGAGGGGTGAGGGCGGCGACAGCATGGGTGGCGGCGAGCCGGCGAGGTGGGTGCTCGTGTGGGGAGGGCAGCGGTGGCGTTGGCACAGGCGGCGCCGGCGGCGGTGTCGGCGGCGGCGTGGCGCGTGGGCGGCGGCGTGGGACCGGTTGTGGGCAACGGTGGCGAGGGTGGCGGCGGTGCCTAATCAAGGGCGCCGGCGGTATGTGGGCCAGGTGTGGCAGCGGCAAGGGCGGTGGCGGTGAGTGGGGCGGCGGCGTGGGTAAAGGGCTCGCACCGTGCCTCTGACTGCGCGACGAACGCGATTTCGCGAGCGACCACGGCGTGATGGCGCGCGCGTGTGGCGGGCGCCAGCGGGTGACCGTTGAGCACCGGCGCCCGCGCCAAGGTGAAGGCTGTGGACGAGTGAAGCAAGAACGTCAACAGCATGTATTGGGGCGCGCAGGGGTTTCTTTTTCGCTTCGAAGTGCCGGGCCTCCCTGCGATCGTTTTCGGCGATGCCGCCACCACACAGGGATTTTAAGGAGAGGGGTGTGATGCGCTAGCCGTCGCCCATTCGGGTACGTAGGTAAGAAAAAGAAAAAAGAGAAAAGAGGGAGGGAAGAGGAAAGGACATGCTCGTGTGCGGATATCTTTATCGGCGATGCCGCTACAGGTGCTATACGAAGGTGAGCACACTGGCGCGCATGCTTCGCTCCTCTCTCCGCCTGCTGCAACCATTTGCTCGCACAACGCGAGTCCACGGCCTGCACACGTCGGCTGCCGCACGCTCTGCCGCTGAACCTCTGTCGCCGCCCAGCGACGCTGAGCTGCTGGACCGTCTGCTGAGCGGTTCCATGTCGCAGCATCGGTGCCCTCACCAGCGCCTCCTCCCTCGCCATTGCTCACTCGCCACCGCCACCGCCCACGCCACCGCCCACGCCACCGCCACCGCCCACGTCCACGCCACCGCCACCGCCCACGCCACCGCCCACGCCACCGCCCACGCCACCTCAGGCTCGAGGCGGAGCTCGGCGGCGACGCCGAGCGCGCGGTGCGCGTGCGGCGGCTGTACGTCGAGGCGGTCTCCGCCCAGGACGGCGTGGGTGACCCGGCCGCCGTGCTGTCGCTACCCGTCGAGGAAGTGGACGGCCCGGAGTTCTATTCGAGCGTGCTCAGCACCAACTGCGAGAACGTGGTGGGGTTCGTGCCTCTGCCGGTCGGCGTGATCCGGCCCCTCCTGCTCGACGGCCGCCGGCTTACGGCGCCGCTCGCGCCGACGAGCTCGCTGCCGAGCGGGTGATCGC